TCAGGCCATGACAGATAACTCTTGGAAGAAAAATGTTCTGCAGGCAAGTAGTGGTTGTAGCGGCCGCTTTGCTTGTGCAACAGGCCGCGTGAAAACCAAGGGTATGCGCCAATACGTCTAACAATCAAGACCGATGTTTATTTTTAACCACGGTCAATTACAACGTTATTTTGAGACGATACTCACTAAGCTATCCGGATGACTGTCGAAGACTGTCATGGAACATGCCTATGAAGGGGTTTCAAGTGATGCTTGACTAGCTCGTTAACTAAACCACAAAACACCCGTCTTAGCAAAAAGGTTTTTTCTGCTTTTCTCCACGAGGGAACTTATATTAAAGGTCCCGTATGAAAACTAGGAATGACGGGATGCGTCACGCAACACTAAACGACTGGGAAGGCGTGACAGTGGTATAGTTTTTATTTCAGTTCCAAGGATAAAAACGTATATCTTATGTTACAATATATTTAAAGCATGTTACATTTTGCACTATCTTAGATTTGCCACTGTATGGTTAGCAGTTGCCTTCTTGCCCTCTCTCATGAGAGTTCAGCTGTGCCAAAAAAGGAATGGAATTTTAAGCAATTGAGTGCTCTGTTAGAATATTTGAAACGATTACTAATCAAATTTATCTTTGAATGTTGTTCCAGTTTTGACTATGTGATTTAAGTAATCCCTGGAAATTTGGTATAGTTAAAAGAAAAAAATCATTTTTGTGGTTCTGTAAACGTGTACAAACTTTGGATAGATAACAGGTTTTTCAAAATATTTTTGTCATTGTTGTCAGGTTCTTGAAATGCAGGATCAATTGAAGCTTCTTCACCAGAAATCACTTCAATACGAACAACAAGCAAGAACACGAGCAAACAGCATGCAGGGACCTGGTAGCCAGCCCAGGTCCCCAAGTACACCGCGGCGAAACACTCAACCATCATCCGGCCAATCAGGAACCCGAACCCATACCAGGCAGGCTAGTGTCGGCGCAGCCTCTGATATCTCGGGCAAAGAAGGTTTTTTAACATCGCCTCGTATTTCACGGCGCTCAAGCACCGATAATTTAAGTATTCACAGCCACGGCCGAAGCTCTCAGTCCACTCCAAATGGACAGGTCCGCAGACCAAGTATTTCGGGAGCAGTGTGGGCGTCTGCTGACGGCAGCTCGCCAATGCCGTTACGTCACCCATCAGGTAGTGTCCAGTCGATCTCAAGTCAGGCGTTCTGGAGGCCTGGTGCTACTAGTGATCTGGGATCGTCTATGCATGGTTCCACTCAGGAGATTACTGTTGTTGCTAAAATGGTGGATGATGGTACATACAGTGGAGGAATTACAGGGATGAGTTGTATTAAAGCTCTCGTGAGTAACATACCTTTTCGTACACACCTAATTGCGATAACATTGTCATAGGAAAGAGCTAAAAGAAAAAAATTAAAAAAGCCAAATTCGAACTTCAATTTTCAGAAACGTTTGAAATTTCTGAACAAACATTTGATGCTCTCAAGAAGTCTGAAAGAAATTTTCAGTGGAAATTCTGTGAAAATGGTTCGGCTGCCCTGCCTATAGGTACAAAACTCAAGTTATATTTCGCTCTTTGAGCAACGAAGTTTTGTGAGCAAAAATGATAAAGGTATCGGGCATCAACTAAAGCTAGAATAAACAGAATAACTAGGCTTTCCCTTTCTTACTGCAAAAACACTGGTTTCCAAACGTGTAGTGCATCAGACAAATGATTATGGATGTTTCCTTTTTTCTTTTTTTTTTATTTTGACGTATTTACTTATTTTTTACCTTTGACAGAGTCAATTACCAGAATTTGTTTCAGACAAGATGCCTTCTGACCTTGTCCGAGCTCTTGAAAGTTGTAGGACAGCCCAAGATGTGTTCAAAGCCCTGTTTACTTATTGCGACGCACAGGCAGACAAAAGGCTCAAGGAGTACGAACTAGAACTAGAAATGCTAACAAGTCGGTTTGACCATTTACAAGCTCAAAATAATGTTGTTTCGTTGTCTTTGGAAGAAAGTAGAAACAATGCGGACAGGATGTGTTATTTGATGGGAAAATACGAGTCAAATTCTACAGCGCTTCAGTTGGCATTGAACTTTTCTGACCGTGTCATTGAGGCATATGAGGTCTTGTTGCAGCTTTCCGAAGCAGAGCAGGCAAGACTTTTTGCAAACTGTCGAGCGGCTGGGGTTAAAACTGGTCTACATAGCTACGCCAGCTCTCCGACGGATTCGACCTACAGACTCATTTACGAAGAAGCGGAAGCCGATGACAACGATCGGGTTCCCGAAGATGTTGAATCGTGTGTGAATCGGAGAAGAACGGCCGAGAACGAAGCCCGGATGTTGTTGCAAAAGCTCGATCGAAACTTCGAGAGCCAAACTAACGCCGGTCAACCTTGGGATTCAGTATCATCAAATAGTAGAACTAGCTCGACAGGGTCATCCAATGATATGGAGTTTACTCCCGAGGAAGAAGCAAGATTAAAAAGTTACATTCAACAATTAAAATCCGAAAGGTCAACAGTGAGCTTAACGGTGATTGAATTGGAAAGTTTGCACGAAGTCGCCCAGCCCAAAGATTTGAAACTGGAACCGCTAGATCCTAAAGTGGATCTGGAAAATGCCGTGCTAATGCAGGAACTAATGGCTCTGAAGGAAGAAAAAGCTGAATTAAAAGCTAAGAACTATTTAATTGAAAAGGAGAAGAAAGCTTTAGAGTTGAAGATCACATCACGTGACGCCCAAGAACAGGCTTACTTGGTTCACATTGAACATTTGAAAACTGAGATGCAGGATGAAATCAGGAGAAGAAGAAGGATTCAGAAGGACGCTGGCGTCGCTAGTAGCAAGGTTGGTAAAACTACCCTAAGATTTTCAGTGCGTCTGGTGCAGAAGACACAGGGCATAATAAAAGCTAGGCGGATAAACATACAGGATTTTTTCAAAAGTTCTATCAAAGTATGTGTCCCTCGAACGGTGGTTTTCCGATGATAAAAATGAAATTCCACCTCTTTCACCGCCAAGTCATGCATGATCTTAAGTTTATGAACGATTTATTTCTTTCAGTCGGACGAGAAGTCAGGGGGAAGTCCCTCCGGCACCCCGTCAATCACCCTCGCTGAATTCAAAACATCAGATGAAGACATTCCACCGGACCTGTATGAAGCTGCCAGGAGAGAGAAGAAACTTAAGGCAAGAATCCAGGAACTCGTAGAAACTTTGGAAACCCTCTCTAAAAACTCGGAAACAAGGCATCAGCAGACAGCAGAATACGTGGCAGACTTGAAGAAAGCAAATGGTGCGCTTGTGGCGGCATACGAGAAAGCTAAGAACAAACACGGAGCCAGGCTCAGAAAGCTAGAGCAACAGATGATTACCATGGTGGAGAGACACGACGCACAGGTGAGAAATGTAGTGGAACTCGCATGCGTGCGTGTGTATGTGTGATTCACAGTTACAATCGCTTTCAGTTTACACAAGTGATCACGCAGTTGTACGCCACTTCGTGGTGAGTTTAGCAGGTTAGGCTCAGCTATGTTTATGTCTAGCTAGTGTAACATTTTGATCTTATCTTAAAGCCAAGGGAAGGTTTTTGCTCGTTAGGAAATGAATGTGCTGCCGACAGTATTCCTAGTAGATGTGCGATCCTTTTTAAGAGATGTACACGGAACCGAAGATAGTATACCCAGTGTGGTGCATTAAGTTGTTTCCTTGCGATGATTTTTCGCTTTTTTTTTTTTTTTTAGGTACGAACAATGAAAGAGAGGATATCGCTTCTTGAGGAGGAATTGAAGACCACGGTAGCTCGGCAAAACGAAACGGCTCTTTAGTTTCGACATGCCAGTGACGTAATATCGTCGCGAGAACTGTCACTTCTTTTGCAGAATGAGATAGCGTCAGGGTTCCCCGTCATTAGTCCACATTCCACGTTGCGTTAAACTGTAAACGAGTAAGGTCGAAAGGTGGAATAGGAGCTAGCCTTCTTAGGAAGTGCATGTGACCAGTAGGTGTTCCATGACCTCTATACACGAGTACCCCTTAGACGCGTCCGTAACAACAACGTGACAGTTGTGTGTCTTACGCATTGTGGGACAATTTCTCCTTGGCTAGAATTTCGAGTTCATTTTGCAAATACTTAGCATAATGCCTTTATCTGCTGAAAAATATTTTATTAATAATATTTAAGACCTTCACGGCTGGAGGAATAATTGCTTCTGTAAATACCTACAATTCAGGCTTGAGAAAGTCTTGAAGTAGCAACACTTCCAAGGGTGATTTTTTCAGCCTGATGAGGTTAGCAAGGGTCTCGTACTGTTGATATTTTCTTGGCCTCCCTCAGTAGCTTTTTTATTACATAACAGAAAACTAAAGGATTCTCAATTTACTTTCATTTTTCAGTAAACAATGCTGCTGAATAAAATTTTATTAGGGACCTTAAGCAATAAGGACTGCAGAGGCGAAGAAGTTTAAAAAATGGACTTTCTTTTCAGTTAGAATTCTGCGGATGGCTGGATGTGTTTATTGTCTCTTACGGCGCCATAACTCAGCTTCAGTATGACGTTTGTGAACAGCGTTGAGTTTCAAAAGGAAATTTGAATAATTTGTCGTCGGAGTTTCCGTTCTCAGATCACGTAACCTCTGGATGATTCCATGTTGCTGTTTTGCAAAGACTAGGAAATTCCCAAAGCTTTAAAAGGCGCGTGCTGAGCTTTTATTCTTTCCATTAAATCTTGTTTTTTTTTTTTTTTTTTTCTCGTCCCTGTTGCTGTTGCCGTCGCCGTCGTGGTTTGCTTAAGGTCCTTTATAGTGCTCAACTACACCTACATTTTGCTCGAAGAAAGCAAACATCTTTTCTCTGGTTTGGAAGTTCTCAACCAATAAAGAACAGTTTTCAACATGACACGACTTTGATATCTCGGCCTCCAACACAAACTTGACACCTGATTGACCCAACAAATGGAAACCAAACAGCATTGTTCTTGGAAATGTAAATCAAAATAACAGCATCGATTTGAGTCTTCCACGAGAAGGAAACGATGTTAGTGCAGGGTTATGATGACCCGGGGGGGCCGGAAGTTGAACAAACCAATCTTCAAAGGTTCAAATGCCCGACGGGCTGCCTTGGCAGGGGGTGTTGAAGCTTCGAACTGATCGATTCATAATATTAACAAAATCTGCTTTCGGTCATTCTCATCGGAAAGAGAACACTGATGTATCAAGAATCTCAGAGCAGACTATTGTTCTTTCGAACTTCCTGGTCACGTAAGTCTAACCCTTTAAGTATTTGAAAGCGAGGTGTTCATTTGAGGATCGATCGCATTTGCTTGTATAGCAAAGAAATAAACACAACTTTACAACAGAGTCAATTCTATTTGAAATAAGCGCGTGAAAGCAAAGTGATCGCTGATAACATGGAGACGAGTTTATTTTACACAAAATGAAGAAGGAAAATGGGAATTAGTTCACAAAAACTGACATTTCAAACATCTGGGGAAACAAGAATTTAACAAGAAAAACAAATATCAAAATGAGCTTTAATGGGGACTAGTTTTAAGCTTTTACCCTAAAATTATCGTACACTGTTCAGGCAACATTTCCTGTGGTGCTGACTAGGAGAATTTGATTGACGATCAGGGCTTCTTCAAATGCTGATCATTTTCTTTTATCTCATTAACTTTGTTTCATTCAAGGGTGATGTTGTTACTATAAGGGGTTGAAGGATTAACGAAGCTTGGAAGGTACTAAATAAAAATTCCACGGGTTGTAAGCGCGTACAATTCTTCAGTACAAGTATCCATGAAAACATCAAGAAAAACAGTCCGTTTTCCAGCTTTAAATACTGTTGGCAATTTTTCATTATAAATATCTTGCAGCAACGTCAACAAATCGATTTACCTGTAACAACACTTTTTGTAAATTAGCTGGATGGAATGAAAATGACTTACGTAAACTTCACGTGCAGAAAAAGTAACTGTACGACAGAGGGAGGGCCTCAATTAAAACTTTCATGAATAAGTTACAGTGAAACTCTGGAAACTGAGAACACCGCGAGTGTATCTGAAATTTTGCTCTGCCGACAAGAAGAAACCAATCAGCTAACTGAGATTCAACTAACTGTTGTCAGTTTGTGTTTTGCTTGAGTCCTCTGTTTTTAAATGAGATTCATCATAAGTTAACGCAACTAAAATTAAATAAAACGATATAATTCCTTTGGTTGTGGATTTAAACATGTCCGAAAATATTTTAGGTATCTTGGTTAAGGATTTTTGTGTTGGCAGTCAAACAACTTTCAATTAAACAAAAGATCGTACTTTCTATCGGTATCCCGGCGAAATAAACCACGTGGGATGTTGGTGGGACACGAGAAAAGTTTGTCTATCACTCGCCTGAGGTTTGTGGTTTACAAACTTTTCTCGTGTTCCCCAAACATCCCAAGCGGGATATTTCGCCGGGAACCAAGAGAAAGTAGGGTCTATTGCTTTTATCAAATATATATGGATCGACTGATGCAATAAAAGATGCGTTTTTGGCCAATCAGGGAGCTTGTAATAACTCAGTTATTTTATAAAAGCTAATAATTTATCGTGGATAAAATGCATTCCACCATTCCAATTTTATCATTAACAAAATCTGCTTTTTGGTTGTTCTCATCGGAAAAAGAAGCCTGAAGAATCAAGAATCCAGATCTTCTATTTTTTCCTTCACCATATCCTCAACTCTCTCGACGACCTCGCTCCCCGCGCCGGACATCTTCGCTAGTAACTGTGTAGGATTTGAAGAATTGGCAGCAAGTTTCTTGGACGGAGCCTTCCTTGAGGGAGTACTAACAGGTGTATGAAGAGCTTCGTAGTTCTGATCAGTGGTCTTGTCAAAGTAGTTGTCCATTTCCCTGAGTGGTATCGCATTGTGAAGTGTTCGCAAGGGATTCAGTGATTCCACTTTTGTCATTTCTTCATAGAAGTCTGCAACTTAAGAAAAAACGCCAATTATTGAATTTTCAACTCCGAATATTGCAATTCTAGTTTTCTGATTGGTTCACTCAACCCCGCACATCAGCTCTTATTCCGAGTCACTTTATGTGGAAATGCATCGCGCCTACTGTTGTGGAGCTGAAAAAAGTTTCAAATATCCAAACGTTCTGGATTTAATGAAATTTCATAAAACATTTATTCCATTTGCACTTGTTGGATACCAGATTGGTTTTAACGAACTCGTTACCATCTCATCAACCTCGTTCCCAAGGCCTTTTCTCCCTTTTCCCTTTTCTTTTTTCCCGCCCCACCCCCGACTAAGGGAAAAGGCGCTGGGAACAAGGTTGCCAACTCATAATCAACGCACGCTCATGAAATAATTGATAAGTAAACTATGCGCATACAACTCACACCGATTGGACAAGTACTATAATTTTCACCGACCTCATGGATGTAATTGATGTTGCTTTGAGCTGCCAGAGGCTTTCAATTTTAGGCATAATTCAAGAACGCGCAAGCCTCCATCGCAGCCGTTGTTTGGTCTCTGCATTGCGTAACGAGGCCAAACAACGGCTGCACAGGAGACTAAGTACGCGCTCACTCTTTCCTTCGTTTTGTGCTTTCGTACTTCGTTCATGACTCCATGAGATTTGTGCTAAGATCACGCCGTTCGATATGTCACTCACTCAGCTGAAAGGTTCACTCCGCCATAGATTTCTTTTCAACCGAAGGTCGCAAAACCAAACAAGAAAAAACTCAACAGTATATCATGTAAAAAACAATTCTAAACGGCCTTAAATGAGTGCCTGAATGATCAAACTGTGATTGTCTCTGGCTTTTTTTATCTTATAAGATGAAAATTAACGCGAGTTTTGTTCAACAACAAGTCACAGCAAAATCAGCGCAATCCCATGTTTGCCTCGACGCTAAGCTGTAAACCAGCGACTCTAAGCGTACAGAAAATGATAACATAAAGACTTACTTGGTGGCTTTCGACTGTTTTTCGTGCTTTTTGTTACAGAATATGGCTTGACAACTAAAGCACTTTGAATGGCATACGAAAGATTTCTGACCGCACGAATGGATGAGGTTTTAGTTCCTAAATAAAACAAACAACGCACAGATTATAAACTTTCAGCAGACTCCACTTAACATCAAAGCTATTCCGGACAAATAACCAGACCACTGACAAGACATTGAACCGATTTGGTTACAATGCGTATCATATAGAAAGAATAATAAAGAAAATTGTATAAACCCGCGGTTTCCCTTGCTCATGAGACGATTGTGACGGCTACTTAGAAATTACGTAAACCTGCATAAATTAAAATGTACCACAAGCAAGATATAATTTTTTAATGCGATCAATGTCCAGTTTTTGCACGTGATCAGAACGTGGCTGAAGCCGTTTGTGTGACATTAGGTGCATAAAAAAAAAAACTTACACATAAGTCGATCATAACATTATCTTTTTCCTCAATCGGTAAAAGTTTTCAGACTAGTAATGAATTAAAAATTCACCCCTCTTTCTTTATTTCAAAGATGATTCGTAGGGAAGGAGAATCCAGCTTCCTTACCGAGACTTGGCCTCCGAGGGGAACCTCCCTTCTTTAAGGAAGGAGTAGAGTGGACAACCTTCAGTGGCTGACCGCTCAGGTCGCTCTTTCCCTGGTCACGCACCACGTCAAACGAGACTTTACGTGGCCGAACAGAAGAAGTGTCCGACTTGGCCGACGAGGGCTTGGCTTTGCCTGTCAATAAAACATTCCCTGTTAAGCAAAGAAGAGACATTCCGGTTAGTTACATAAGTACATAGTGTTGAGTTTTCGCAAGCAGGCCTACCTTAAGTTAATTTAAGTAGCAAGTGATCGATGTAGTAGGGTTAAGAGAGTTTGCTTACAAATTGCGTGTGGCAATACTTGGGCTACGAACGCGAATCAACACCCTTGTTATTAACATTTCAGCTTCTGATAATTCTAAACCTTTAATTGTTCAGTTAAGGTTCGTCGCTTAAAACACGATATTAGCATGAGAAGCGGGAATTTCCACTCTTTATTCGTTGAAATTTACGCGCTGGTAATATCACACTGGTAAAATAGTGAGTTCTACACTAATTAATTTCTTTACTGTCTGCACTATCTGCTACAAATCATGATCTATGGTAGCTATATACCCCCGTCTCAAAGGGTAATTAAACTTTTTTTCACTTTTAAGGAGCTTTCAACTTTCGCGCAAGGATTTACGAAAATCGGTGTCAATGGTGGCTGTAGATTACTACATTTGTGGACCAGTCTAGCAACGCCTTTCTTCGGGTTCAAGTCAAATACGATAATTTTTCTCTGAAAGTAATCAGCTATTACTGTGAAACTTTCCCGCATGGACGAATTAATGAAAATATTTAGGAAAAGTTAAGTAACTAAATATGTGCATACATGAAAAAGGAAATAAACAAATATATGAAAAAAATTCACTAACTAGAAGTCAGAGGTGCTTGTTAATACGATGGAATTTAAGTTTAGAGGAAGTTATACAAGGCGTACAGTTTTATGCAATTGCACAAGTACTGGTCGTCAGTCATTGGCGCTTGAGAAGCCTTGGATTAACTGCTCAGTATATATCTAAACGGAGGCGCGGTGGCCTCATGCGCTCGACTCCGGGTCGAGTGGTCCGGGTTCGTGCCCTGGCCGGGACATTGTGTTGTGTTCTTAGGCAAGACACTTTACTCTCACAGTGCCTCTCTTCACCCAGGTGTACAAATGGACACCGGCAATTTAATGCTGGGGGTAACCCTGCGATGGAATGGCATCCTATCCAGGGGGAGTAGAAATACTCCTAGTCGCTTCATGCTACAGAAACCGGAGTTAAGCACCGGCCTAATGGGCCACCAGGCTCGTAAACAGACTTTACCTTTACCATATATCTAAACACAGGGTTATCAAAATAACTGTTTTTATTCTCTCAACATATTAGCTGCGGTTAAACGAGGTTTACACCGAAAGACAAATAAACAATTACACGCAAGTCAGATTTACTGGACGTTACAGATTACAAACTAACATTTTACACACCTTTCTCATTAGTTACCCCTGGAGATTTACAGACACTGAGCACACCATAAATTACAAACAAAACACACCTACAAAAATATCAAACTTGTGCTACAATAAACTAAAAAAAATCCTTAAATCGCCGTTTCGTTATCATAACTATTACAGTGTTCTTTCCGCCGTTTCGGGTTCTTAAAATCCAGAATCTTAAATCCAGAGAAGACAGAACGCCCCAACCGAATATACTGGAAGTCAATTAGAAAAATGATCTTGTTTTCAAAACATCTGCTCTGGGCATCCGGTTTAAAGTAGAAGAGCTACATCACAATATCTATTTCGGATTCGTTTGCAGGCGTTCAAAATTTTCTATAACAGGAATCCTCGCTCTATGATTGGATTAGAAAATTTGCGCCACCTTCTCGACCAATCAGATGCGAGACTCAAATCAATCATAACTTCGGGCTACAATCGTCCGTGTTTTTCCGCGGTTTTCCCACGTTCTTCCCGCGCTTGGGTTCTGCTTTGCATTCCTATTGGCTCATTTGACATTTTCCCTTGTTTTAAATAGCCGTTGAAGTTTCTTTGGTTCATTACCTCTAAATGCTGTGACGACGGGCAAACACCAACACAGAAAGGTAATAAAAAAAAAAAACAAAAGAAAAAAAAACAAGAGAAACGAGGTGAACTAGGAAAAGAGAAGATTAGACAAAAGTGCAAAAGTTAAGGCCCACAAACTGTGAAGTAGCTCATTCAAACGATTACTGAGCACACTGAGAAAATCTAACTGAATTCCTGTCTTCCTGATCCTATCTGCACCGCCTCCTTTATCACCTTCTTCGTCAAGAATCACGTCATCATCCTCTCCAACGCTTCTTTTCCCATGTTGATCATCATCATTTGAACCGTACTCATTCTCCTGATCTTCTTCGTCAACGGTGTGCAAATCAGTCCTGACTCCTGTTGTCATTACACAGTTTTTAACGCCAAATGAAATGTTAGGCAGCGAGAAACAAGATACATTTCGCAAATGTTATCATGGTTGCCACAGTCATCGATTTTCAAAATTCCCTGACCTTTCCACGATAAAGACAAAAATTCCGTAACCATTAAAATGTGGAGATTATCCTATCGTAAGGGCCGGCTGCCTTCCCATACAGCTGTCATGCTGACATATTTTTTTAACAAACAAAAAAAAGAACGTTCCTATTTTCAACTTAAAAAGAATGAGGGCTGAAAGAGTGAAAACAAAAACAAATAAACAAAACAAAACAAAACTGAACACGACACAACACAACAGAAAAGGACAGAAAAGAACAGAACACAACAGAACAGAATAGAATATGTTTTGACCTGTGGCAACCATGTTTATAAAGTTACTGTTAATTTAAGATTACAGTTCATATCATGGCAGACTAACTTACATGCACAGCGAGCAGCGAGCCTGTAGGCTATCATTAGCATGGTTGCTGGGCGGTTAAAAATGCTTAGGAGCCAGGCAAGCCAAGGGTTACATAACAATGATCAAAATGTTTCAATAAGCAAAGAAAGGAATGGATATTTAAGCATTTTAGGGCAAGAAGAAGAGGAGGCATATAAGCAGTGAGATTATTCGTCAGGTACTGCGGGCCGTTGACATTCCTTGCATGCATTTAAAATTTACTTGGCTTTGTTGAATATAGTCTGGCTAGGGCCTTATGGAAACACGTTTTCCATAATTGGTAGACAATGAAAATGTCTTGACGGCGCAAGCGATGCTGAAACTTAATTTTACGCAAAAGCATGTCGCAATAACGCATTTACAATAAAAAATGCATAAAATAGGCAAAACGCGGCAAAATTAGAAAAATAATAAAAGAAATAAAAAAAAAAAGGAAAGAGAAGAAAAGCGAGAAAAATGCAATAACCACTGTTGTCGAGAGCCCTTCTTTGGAAGTTTGTGATCAACTTCAATAACCTTCAGAGTTATTTGATAATCTGAGGCAAGCTTGCACACACACACATATTTAAAAATGGGTCATGAGTAAATATTAATAATATAGCACAAAAGTAGTCGCAACAATTATCTTATTCATCCCTTAACCAACAGAGTCAGATATATCCTCTGTCAAACCAAATTACGTCCTTGAAGAATTGTAGCTTGATAAGTTTACTTTTTTAAAAGCTGGCGAATCAGGAGGAACCAAAAACCCTTCTGTTCATGTTTATTATTTCGCACGCCCTTTGCACAATGATTTAGAGAAAAAAAGGAGGTCTGAGTTGAAAAAGCTAATGCAAACTGCATAGGAAAACCTGTCCCGGAGGTATGTGGAGGCTTCACCCCACTGTTAATTCGTCCCTATCACCTTGGCGAGTTCGCCACCTAAGGTAAAACAAGTTCACTTCCACGTTTACTACTTTGCACCCAAGTCTTTCAACTCGTTTTCTTTCGGTAGAATATATTTCTTTTCTGTCTAAACCATCGTGTACTTTGATTCCAATTCCAGTTCGATAACTGTTGGGTCACCCCTTAGCAGCGTTTCACACTGAGACAGACAAACCTACGATCTGTACGTTTACGATAAACGACAACGACGCTTACCGAACTTACTTACCGAACATGTATAACATTTAAAACTACATCTTTCGCTTTGTTTTTATGATGCGTTTCGCGTTTAAATTCAATGGCCATTTCTACCTAGACTTAGCTAACTCATGAACAAACATACCTTCTGTCAACTTGCCAAAACCATATTCATCAGGTGATCCACCCAACGAGTGGGCCTTCGGCCTTCGACTGGCCAGCTGTGGTTTTGAATCATCTTCTTCCTCGATGCACTTTATCGAACTTGCCTCTTGGTCCTTCGCTTTTTTTCACAGAGGAGAATCCCTTGTTGGACTTCCCATGGAAACCACATCACTGTCCGACTTACACCTTCTCTCGATTTCAGTTGGGGCGGGGCTGATCTCTGTTTCACTCAAACTGTTCCTTTGCCTCTTCAGCGGTTTCTCTTCACCAGACGAGTCATCAATGGACGTACCCGAGGACACAGTACTATCACCTGTGCCTTCACCTATGGCAGAATCTGAATAGTCTTCCATACCGATTGAAAAACGTGGCCGCTCATTACCAGCGTACACAATCTCATCGTAAGGCTCAAGTTCTCCGCTTTCAAAAACTTCCTCCGCAGTGGAGTTTAGCTCTGCACCTGCGGAGCTGCCGACAGTGCTTTGTGCAGTTTCGTCGACAGAACTTTCAGTTTTTTTCGTCGTCTGGGATTGTCCCGGATGAGCGCTTGTGGCTGTTACGCAAGGAGAAGAAGATGAATTAGGATTGGAAATTGATGATGTCGTATTAACCAGGCTATCCTGACTTTGATGGCCATCATCCCCGACACCTCTGATCATTGTGTTTACATTCCCTGCCGTTGAACCGGTAGCGGCTGATGAGACTCTTACATCTTCCTCACTACGTTTCCTTGTAGGTGAGCTCCTTGTCAAGAATTCTGGATCATCCATAGTCTTGGCTCCAGGACTGAAGTGCATCTCTACATGAAATCGGTTTTCAGACAAAGGATCCGCCTTTGGGTCTTCATACAACAACAGCACAATCTGGGTCATGTAGTTCAATTCCGGTACCTCGCTTAAGAACTTTACAGCTTTCTGCCATTGGCTATCTGGAATATACTGACAGAACATAAGAAAACTTTCATAAAAATGCTCACCTCAGACGATTTCTTTACTCATAAGCTGACTTGCAGGAAAGAATAGAGACTATCTACATGTATTTAGTAGGTGTTAGTAGCTAGTCGAATAGAGATAGACATTGGTAGGCATCAAGAGAATTTAACTGTAAAAACTTGAGGAAAAAGTTACATTTACAAGAGCACGGAAATTGTCCAAATGTGAAAAAAAATCTATCTGATTATATAAAAAAGCTTTCCTCAAAAGATGGGTCTGGTCTTTTCCTTAAATCATTAAGATTGTCAAAATATCTCATACGTAAAATGTCTGCGGAATAAAGCTGCCATGCGGTTTTTATAAACTATCTGTTTAGTCTGCTAAGCCTGGAAGTCCGCTTACTTCAAAAAGCTTTCCAAATCGGAAAGCATTCAGCACTGTGTGCACGTGACTCTCACTTGTGAAATACAACCTTGTTCGAACATGGCGATGTGGAGTTTCCACACTCTGTGAGTAACTACAGAACAATCAAGAGAGGAATTATTTTAAGAGTGTAGCTTGATTCATGACTGACTCGTATGCATGTCACACAAGTATTTCCTCAATCAAGCGCCGCGATGGGATGGGGGAGGGGAGGGAGGGGAGCAGAGGGAAGAGGAGGGGAGGGGAGTAATGGAGACGAAGCTCGCGAAAACGTCGATTTAAAGATCAGCATTGCTTACCTGGGATTAAGGCGAGTGTGTATATCTGATTTGTCTGCATGCCGGAGATCCCCTCTAATCTTCCTTAAAAGTCTGACACATACTCTTTGAGCAATGGCTAACTTCTCTTCCATCGTTATTCCATATTCCTAAAAATGCCGGAAATATAATTCAAAACTCGTCTTGAGGGTCCCGGTTTAGATACTGCAACATGAAATTTGTTTAAGTAGAAGACACATAAAAAGTGCTATGTTCATTAGGGGTTCCGAAAAGCTCCTACAAATACATGCATCTTTAATGGTTAATTGTTTATTACAGAAACAGATACAACACTGATTCTATGGAAATGGCAATTTTATTGTTGGCACGTACAACTCATGCGGCATCACTACAAAAAAAAAAGGTAAAACAAATTACTGCTGCATTTTCGAAGGGTAAATTTATCGTCAAAATCGTATACTGACCGCCCTTTAATACCCTGGGCTCGACACTAACTATTCAACTTACTAGCCAAGTGGCTAGTGACAACTTAGATGTTACAACAGTTTCAGTTTGTTTACTAGCCAAACTGGTCAATGGAAATAAAAAAACCCACCAGCCAAAACAGAATTTCTACTAATCTGTGGCTAGTTGGCTACCGTTAGTGTCGAGCCCTGATACTCTTGCTCACGAAGAGGATTGAGTGTGTCAAAGCGCAGTGCTGGAGGAGAGTCACGGGAGGGGAGGCTGAGTGACCTAATAGCCGGTTCGCTGAACTGAATAGTTCAGTTTCGAGCCCTGAGCATGTCAGTATGTTGTATTGTTGGGCGAAATATTTCATCTCTCAATGCCTGTTTCCTTCTAGACGTGTGTACCGGTGAGTTATCAGGGAGACCGGATCAAAATTTTAGGAGTAATCTACAATGAACCTATACTGTATACCATTTAAACAATAGAGTGTTTCTGTCGAGGAACTATCGGCTGATAGTTGCCCCGCGGAAATTTGATGTTCTTAAAACAAATATGCTAGTTTTAAGAACATCAAATTTCCAAGGGACAACTATCAGACCGATAGTTCCGAGACATAAACACTCTATTGTTTTTATTGTTCACCACTAAATTTTCTTCCTCGCCTACAGCTTTTCACAAATGTCAATAATTCGCAACCGCACATTGGCTAAATACTACGTTATACCTGTCAGAATTGAAAAGTCACTGTTTTTCCGATCTACCTAACTTCGCGGCCGTCAAACTATTCAAAACTTTTCACGGATGAGTACTATCAATCCAGGTATTTTCCGCGGACGGGCACTATCCATCCGGGTATTTTCCGCGGGCGGGCACTATGGGCTGGTAGTGTCTCTCCACGGATGAACCCTATCGCGTCACGTGATCGATTTAAACCAATAAGAACCGGAGAAAATTTAGTGGTGAATTATAATCAGGGAAGAAGTTGTTTCAGGCTGTAGACTGGCTATGAAAGCGAGTCTGCTCAATAAGCTTACTCACCTGTGGAATAACAATGTCTGCAAAAGCCTTGGCACACTTGTATAAATCCAGAGCGTTATTCAAACACAGGTTACTACATTTAACAAATATAACTAGATCAGTATCTGTGAGTGCAAAACAAATCGTTGCAATTACATGTACATAAATTTAGCCTCCAAATAAGGACGGCTAAATACTATCTAGCACATAAATCTACTTATAAAATAAGCAGAACTTCCATCGTAAATTTACATTTTATCAACACTGTAACACTCCATCTTCACACGTGAAAGGAATAGTTTATTAGATCCGAAGCTATCCCAGTTATCTCGATCATCCTCTCCGCAAATCAGATGGAAAATCCGGCACAAACAATCACGACCTGGTCAGACCTGTTTCCCGCGCTTGAAGCAAGAAACATCCTTTTTCTCTATTTTTTACTCCTTGCTCTTGACACTTCTAGTCTGTTTTGCCAATGTAGTTACTTTAGTTTTTCTATTAAAATAGAGGTCTAAAACTAATAGTACTTTTACCACCATTATTCATAACGACTAAAGCCTCAGTGATGAGCAAATCATTTATTTAACAAAACCATCAATGGGTCGTTTTCCTTTTTTAACGAACCTGTTGTGCTGCACGTCGTACTTGATACATTCATAGATATCTGGAATAAGACTGATGTCGAACTGGCCACTTTTCAACTTAAAATCCTAAAGGACATCAAATAAGTAACATCTTTTAATCTAGTTCACTTGGGATTTAGAATAACACTGAAAAGGAACTCACACCCTGCATGTGGATCTAACCTTCTCTAATTTTGTCCACCTGTGCATCATCAGCTCCAGTGTTTCATCATGGTAAAGGAAAGGATCTGCAACACAAAGATCCCCAAAGGAGAAAAATTCAGTGAAGCTCAGAAATAAGCCACCACGAAAACGCCTTATAAGCACTCGACAAACAAACGTCTGTTGAGGAATCCAGGGGCTGAATTTCCCACGCTTTTGCAGTTGCTCACTGCCTGACAGATTACGTTTAGCAAATTAAAAGTCTTAAAGAAAATCGGCTTCTACACTATCGCGAAGCCACCTCAAGGAAACTTTTTCAGTAATTTAATTTGCATGGTTTCCCTCAACAAATGCCTTCGATGAGATTTCTTTGCTTTATTTATGGCGAATTGAAAATTTCCCACAGGCAAGTAGACTTGACAAAAAAAAACCCTGTGGTTGTTAATCGTGCTTAGTAATGTCAAAACAGGCAAGGTTAACTTATGGCCCTTATGTGGCTATTCTTACCTCTTGGATCATAAGTTTTCTGGGATATCAGTTCCTTTAACTGTCCAGTAAGATTCGCTACCAAGTTGTATAGCTTTTCACACATTTTGTACGGATTTTTAACAAATTTCATGGCATGTATTACAGAAGGAGACTTGGTTGGTGCAAGCTGCAATCAGACAGGAAAGCAGAGAACGTAAGTTTTGACAAAAAAAAAAAGAAAAAAAAAGAGGATCAATTCATAGCATCGTCACTTCAAGCGCTTTTCGATTAAGTGTCGCAAAACCAGAACTAAAAACAAACCCAAATTAACTTCAACTACCCATCAAAAGAAACGAAAATACTTTAAGAGCCAAAGAATGACTCAAAGTAAAACCGACCAAACTGCCTAAAGGGCAGGAAAACGCGGGCTTTTAGTTTTGCATCTGATTAGTTGAGAGAGTGTGGCGCGAGTTTTCGGAACCAATCACAGAGCTAAGTAAATCAAAACAAAGCAATCTTGTGTTACTTTCAACACTGAATTGAAAATTGCTTTATCTTGAATTAAATTCCGACAAACCTTGGTGAAATCGTCTTCTTTGAAATCCTCATTGGAGTGAAGCATATCATGAAGCCTGTGTTTCACTCTGTAGACAGAAGATTTTAATAACTTTACTTTAAGAAAACAAAACAAGAAAATTGGATTTAAAAAGGAGCAAATACGGTGGACAATGTCATAATTAAGTACTGTAATTTCAACATCGTATACTGTCATCTACTCAATAATTTTCAATCAAATGATCACCTACTGAACATTTACTAATGACACTTAAACTAAATAGACCTCAAACTTTGAGTCCTGAATCTCAAATCTTGATTTAACAAACGACTTATAAGAAAAGTTAGATGTGTATTAAAAAAAACATAACACGCGCAAGTTACCGTTCCAGAATTAGAAAATCAAACTTGAACTTACTTTCCCAGTATCTTGGTGGCAGCACTGGAGGTGTCAAGCATTTCTGTAGTGTTCTTATCACTTCGTACCAGATGTACAAGAACTGGTGTTAGTTCACCTTCAAGTGCAAGAAAACCCTGTGGACCAACAGAGAACAAGCTTGTTTAGAGCTAACACAGAATTAACCATTTGACCCCTATAAGTGACAAACATCTAATTTCTCCTTACAAAATCACCTCTGAATCCTACAATGTGATGAGAAAATAGGAAATGATCACCAACTAAAGAAGCTCTTGATGTTAAACAGATTCTCCTTGCCAGCATCTTAAGTAAAGTATAAACGGAACAGAATGGAGAATATGCATACTGATGTAATGGTGTAAAGGTTTGAAAACATATCACTAAAGTTTTAAAGGTTTTAAGTATTTTTCTAAGTACTTTCCTCTTTATAAGACATTATTTGCAATTGAATTGTCTCCATTCCATTTTCAGCAATATCATGCAAGTTTGAGGTTCGGTGAATGAATAGGGTGATCATTTTAGTCTTTTTTGCAATACGTTGTGAGGCCTTCTCAGTGAAGAAGTGTTTCCTAAGTTTATATATTGAAGTACATATATGCAGCTGTTTGTTTGTCTATTTTCCCCACAAAATAGAATTAAGACCACAATTGAGCTGGATACCTTTGCAAATGCTGCAGCTGTCATTTGAACTCTTCCCTCATCAGATGCATAAATCTTCAAGTCATGTCTGTAAGTGCTGTGAAGTCGCAGGAGACCAATACCAGACATAGAGTATCTTCCTTGACCTCCAGGGTACATGCTCCTAATTGTTTAGAGATAAGCAGAGAAAAATTGTGAACATAGTCATTCAGAGGAAGGAAAAAACAGTCTGAGAGGTGGAAGAAAATTACATCAGAATACACCTTACAGTTTTGAGAACTCTTCCATTTTCTCATCAGGTAAAATATGAAAAAGGATACATATGGAATGTTTTAATGTTTGAGCCACTGTATATTACGATGGCCTCTCTCCCTTCCCCAATTTTCTTCCTAAAGGTTTCGCAGCCTGTTTTTGTTGATAACAATTTCTTACAAGATGAACTTGCCTTGCTGTAAGAAGTTATCCTGGTTTATGAATGGTGATTCATTAATAACTCATTCGTAATTTAGCAGTCATCAAGTGGACCCCTCAATATGTCCTATATAAGCTCTTCTTTATAAAGTTTTCGTAGTGAATAAACTTGAACTTGAAATGACTACAAGACAGTTTGAGTACTGTACTTCATCACTGGATATCTCTGAGCATCTTGTCTGGCTTCCCTGACAGTTAATTGGCATAAGTTTAAATCCAGACAGGAGAGAGGCACTGTGAAAATAGTGTTTCATTCCAGAAATATCACAATGCTTCTGCCCAGAGATTGAACCTGGGCATTTCAAACTAGAGTCTCCATACAATTAACTGGAAAAATACTATTGCTTCTTATTTCATGAACACATACCTGAAAGCCCGTCCTAACTGTAAGGCCTGCTCCTTTCCCATTGTGGTCAGTTCTCCACCCCACTTGACTATCAGCAGCAGTGCATGTTCAGAGTCAACTGGTACCTTTAGTTTGTCATCCTTTTCATCTTCATTTTCTTGTGATTCTTCACTTGATTGCCCTCTGACTTCTGTACTGTCTTTGTTTTTGGCCTCCTTCTCTCCTTTCTTTTTTCCACTCTTTTCATCTGAACCAGAGTCTGTTAGGCGACTCTCACTGCTTTCACTTTCACTCCCGTCTCGAGGTTTGCCAATGTACTTGAACTGAACCTTTCTGTTAATTCCAGAGAAATACCCATACCTAAAAAGAAATGGCAGGAGAAAAGTAAAATTAGAAATAATACTGTTAGTAGCATGCATATGAGAGTATTAAAAAAGTTTATTATTTAGTTCTTAATAACCGAGCGAGAGGTCTGTATGGGAGAATCTTGACTGAGGTCGCCAGTACAGACTGAACGCAGTGAGGTCTGTACCAAAGACTGAGGTCAAGATTCTCCCATACAGACCGACATGGCTCAGTTAATAAGATGTTTATTATATGGCTGTGTCTTGTATGCCAATTTTTTATATTCTTTGTACCTTTTTTTTCTAGACTGGTCTAGATGCCGGTCTAGATGGGAAAATCTGGACTGCTTTCAATATTGATTTCAGCCAATCAAATTTGTGAATTCAGTAGTTCCCAGTCCTTGTGAGACACAGCCATATAATAATACAAGACGAGACATCTTCCTCATATCAAGTCTAGATTGAGATGCCCTGTTGGTCCAAATTTAATATCTTTGCATATCAGCCCCCAAATTTGTCCTACATACTTCAAGTCAAAAGCTGTAAACTTTCCTCATAACAGAACTAAAAATGAGCCAAAACAAAAATTATTATGATGGTTTACAATATTCATTTCGACTTTTTTTGCCTCCTTCCAGCAAAGTTAAAGTGAAGAAAAGTAACTTTCAAAGAAAATTGGGTTAAAAAATCTAGCACAGCAAGGAATACATATACATTACCAAAGAAATTCATGCAAGAGATCTTCCAAAAACAAAATTCTGGTATAATAGCTTGAGAATTACCCTGACTTCACTACAAACAACTTTTCTACACAGTCTGGATGATTTATGTTATCCCAACAAATAAAAAGTAACAGGAAATCCTTATGAATGTTGAGCAAGATTTGTGATGAGTAACATGGAAGGCATATGAATCTTCAAGATTGACTTACATTTCTAACACACTTTTGAGTTGATGGAGCTTGTTACGACTCTCGAAGATTGGAATCCCCTCCTTAATGTTGGCTAACAAATCTCTAGCAATATTTAATACTTCTTGTAACTGGGTCGGTCTCTTCAGCTTGAGCTTGTGTTCATCAAAGCCATTATACTTTTTGAACAGTTCAATAAATCTAGTGTAAAAAAGGAACAATTAGGTTTAATACCATAAAACTAAAGATTATCTCATTTTAAGGCCTATACATGTACATTGTACAAAAAACACCATTGCAGTTCCAAATGGATTTCAAACTCAATTGGATTTTTATTTTCCTTTCCTTTCCTGTATCAATACACCTACAGCTACGGAGCAACAAAGAAAATAAATCAAAAAGTTCAAAATCAGATATATTTAAGTTCACAAACAACCAGGTGGATAATCACACATGGTTTGATGCTACTCTGGTTTAAAAATTTAATGATTGTACCCAAGAAGTTACAGTTCATAGATGCAACATTTCAACACACACCCTTGTCTAGTACCTTCACCAGGGGTGATCTAATCATTGCAACATAAATTGTAACTTCTTGGTAACATTCATTAAATCTTTAAACCAGAGTACTTGGCATCAAACCTTGTCTGAAGTTCAAAATAATTTTTATCAGCCATTCATTTCAAAATACAATACACAAGTACATGCCCCTGTAACAAGTCATGCCAAACAGGAAGTTCCCCAATAAATGACCCAGAAAAGGTATCTTTGGGAAAAATGTATGGAAGTACATCTTTCAGTGGGATTCCATGAATTTCTCCTCACACAAGCAATGACATTGCAGAAAAAATATCAATAAGGGTATTATTAGTAGATCCAATACCAAATTCTCCAAACTGACTACATAAGAATTACATAGCAAACAGTAAAGAGAATTACTAATGAAATCTTGAAAGTGATAGGGTTAACATTACAGTTTATCTCACCTTGGATGTCGAACTTCCATCTTCATTTTCTGTTTAGGTGTTCGGTCACCATGCCTGATGATGCCAATGACACACCTTAGCTCTAACATAGTACCCTCTAGGGGTTCAACAGTGGGTGTCTCCTCTGGTAAATCAAGAATGTACCCTGTATATAATTGGGGCGCTAGTTTATGTACAATAAGACTCATTAAGACATGTCCTGCATCGTCATAGTACTTCTTGGATGTCTTCACAAAACTGAAGCCATTGACGTCACAAACATAGGATTTGCCATGAGTACGAAGTAAATCACACCCACAAACTGTTTGCTAAGTGGAAAAAGAATTAAAGATTTTCAGTGCACTATAATAGATGGCATTAACTTCCCCTAACAGTCCAAGTACATGTATACCAATATCACTAACACAATGCCGGCTTACAGTTCAGTGCTACGACCCAAACAGCTCCATCACTGCTGCAGCTAGTGTCCATACAATGAAGAAGCTAAACTAAAAGTATCACTGCTTCTCCCAGGGAGATTGTAAGTCTATGGCAAGGTATCCACCAGCATTTCTTTTGTTTCTAGTCTCCTCGCAAGAACACAGTCAAGCCTTGTCATCCAGGAAAGAAATAGGCAGGCCAAGAGTAAATGCCTAATCTACTGTAAGAACACAGTGACCCTGACTAGGAATCTGTCCTAGACCTTTCAATCTGGAGCTTGTCCAAAGTGCTAAGTTAATAGTTCAGCTAGGGCACAATGGTAAACAATGCAAGCGGTTGTAAAGTGAAAAGTGAAAAAAGAGAGCTTGGGACAGGTTGGAAAAAGGGACATTTAGACCAGGTCACATACACTGTACTCCCTCCTTTTAGGCCCTGATGCTGCCATTCAAGCTGTTTATTATTGCACTTTGTTTTACCAACTACATTAAATCTAGCTTCTATCCTCATAACTTGTACCAATTTATGAGCAACATATTCCAATACCTTGAACAAGTTGCAGACTTTGTTTGCCAGTTCTTTCTCATACTGGTTTAGGATGACAGGGTAACGTATCTCCTTTCCTTGACTATCTCTTTCAACTTTTCCATCAAGTGAAGGAGACTTGCGTGCTTCAGCATGAGCATACTCTGGGCCCACTGTGTACACCTTGATTTAATGATCCACAACAGAAAAACACATCTCTTATTTTATTAAAAAATACTCCCCTTTGTAAAAAATGAGATTTTTTAAGAGCATGGTGATGAATTACAATTAATCTCAGTGAGAGTACAGAAAACAAAAATTTGAACCAAGGAAAAAATAGAACCATAACATACATGTTATGTCTGCAAAGTTCTTATGAATCAAACTTATGTCCACACACTTTTCCTATGTCTTCCTTTCCAGTACTTGTGGTACCTCTTACATTTGGTATCACCACCTAAAATCCCTTGGAATTTTCAAAAATTTATCATGTAAAAGGATAGCTCTGCTGGTTTGAAAATTTTCCTTTATCTGTTGTGCCTAAAATAAGGGAGAACCCTACTTCTCCAAATCTCTTTCCAAAATAAAAAGGATTACTGACATTAAAAAAAAAACTGTTACGTCTTGACTACCTTCACATCTGTTCCATCAGTGACCACGAAGTCTTCATAAATGTAAGACCCTTTCTTCCGTACTGAACTCTCGCCTGAGTACACACTGCTTCTATTTCCCACCTTCCGGAACAATCTTTGGCTGCCACCTCCTGCCGATGAGGGGTAATATATGTACACATTGTGATCTTCTGCATTTACTGGTTTCTCAACAAAGGGTTTTTGGAATACAACATCGCCTATCTGTACAGAATCATCAGACTCAACAAAATTTGTGTTTATGGGATTTCCATCATCATCTCGTAGTAAAATAGCATGTCTTGGTGTTTCAATCCCTTCGCTCTTCAAAAGGCTGTACATTGTTGGTCTATAAAGGAAAATAATATATTAGGTACAGGTTTAACCAGAAACTGTTTTCTCTGACTTGCTGATAAAAAGCTGTGTTTTATACAGATAACAGCACAAAATTGTAACATATTGACATGGACAAGGACAAAGTCGAGTGCGATATTAAACAATTATTGGTTGAGGTTAAACATGATATCATGAATTGTCAAAGTCAAGGTCTGGGTTATCTGCTAAAGCCAAAGACAGATAACACAGATTCGAGGTTTGATAATTCATGATGTCATGCAAAAACCAAATTCAATAATTGTTTTAGTATAAATTTTTAAACAATCTGCAAAAGAGGACACTTCTCTCTGAGTTTGCAAAAGTTTGAGAACACTACAGGGACAAGGGACTTAAAAACTAGGCAGAATTTAAACTTGACATGATATCCAATATCTGCCACAGATATTGGGTTACCATGTCAACTTCACGTGCTATTGTATATTGACGGTATGCTCTTGACCAATCAGAGTTTTCAGAGTAAGTTTAGAGTAAACGAGGTACATGGTATGAACCTCGGAGGGAGCTAGGGGTCCCATTTAAACATGAAGTCTGATTGTCCACTTAAGGATAGTCCTGAGAAGGACTGTTGTCAGTAGTGGTGACTGAAATCTCAACAACCTGAGTCGTCATCAGTCATCACTCATCCGCACCACTCCAATGATAACTTCTGTTCTGGGACCCATTTCTTGCCTGTAAAGCTGTTCTGTTTTCATTCAAGATGGGGATTTCAAAAGTTTTGAAATGATACAATAAAACTATCAGCTAAAGAAACAAAAAGGACTGGTTTAGGTGCCAGAATCTGCTATTTTATCCTTTAAATTTTGATTTTAAAACGTGGCTTCGGGGCCCCTTAAGTTACCAGGACTTTCAAGAAACAGGCCCCAGGTTGTCAAAATGTCAGTCAGCACTACTGACAATAGTGATTCTCAGGACTACTCTCACCTGAATGATCACATGTACAGGAAACGTACCTGTCCATCAAAGCATATTGCATTTCCAAGTCATTTAGACTGAATGGTTTTCTGAGCTTGGCATACTCAATCGCTTTCTCAAGTGGAAAGCCTTTGGAGTAAAACGAGATCAAGCAGTCACAGATGGGCCATTCCTCCACTGGAACATTCAGGATAGTGTCATCAGGAAACACAAATATGTCTACACAGTCAAATGCTGACATTCGACCCAATATCTCTTGCATCGGTTGGGAGTTGGTCTAGAGAAAGTGAGTTAATGAATATATGAATAAAAATTGTACTGCAAATTTTCAATCAAACCTTCCTATTCCACCCCACTTAAGAAATTTAAATTTCCGAAAGTCTAGGGCACATCACTAAAATAATAAGATATACATTTGCTGGTGATGTTAGATATACCTTTTTGCTCATTGCACAGACCCCAATCCTGATCTTGGGAATTGCATCCTCTTCATCGTCTTCTTCTTCATCATCTTCACCATCATATCTGCCAAATGGCCTTGGATAGTCAGCCATTTCCTCTTTTCAAAAGTGTACGTAAGAGAAAACTGCGGACATCACACCATCGATAGTAGTATCTGGTTAAATTTTATCGTCTTGACCTTCCGCCTGACATCATCTGAAGTCTCTACAAATGCAAGTTTGAACAGCATATACGTTTAGTCTTACGATTGTTAGTGGTAAGGGAGTAAAAACTAATGAAACATGAATATTTTGTTACCGACGAATTTCAACAGGAGGGCAAAAATATTTGCTACACCGGGATGAGGATCGATCGAAGACGCGATGCTGCTGTTCGTACTCAGCACATTGTACTGTACAAATGAACGGGTCAGTTACGCTAAAAGATATCATCTTACCTTCAGAAAAACAGCCTTACAGAGTCAAATTCTTAAAAAAATCGGTTCACAGCTGTCGACTACGGTCTAATCTGATTGTGGCAAGTTACGTGAAAGTATAAGAGGATTTCGCGATTATTTCGCCATTTTCTGGCGAAAAGGCCGCATTTCTTGCTAAGTGGGGTCAGCTGCATATTAGGAAGAGATAGATATGTCATATAAGAAAAGCTTGATCTACCATGCTGGTCCAAAATTCTGTAAGGAAAATTTCCATCCTCGTTCCCAGGGCCTTTTCCCTTAGCTGGGGGTGGAAAATTTCGGCTCATGAACTTATGGAAATTTCACTTTCATTGGCGAGATTAGGAAGGCAAGATCTTTCAAATTTCGTATAGGGGTCCTTGGCTTCCTTCAAGGCTGTAGTTTAAGGCTACTAAGTTTTACGACGGGTTTTTTCAGCTTCCGGTGTCCAGGGCTCCTAGTAACCAATTTGGAATCCTTTGCAAAACATTATTGTTGCCGAACAGAGAGTAATAACCAAAATTAAAGCGGGAAGTGATGTTTTGAAATGCTAAATAAAATAGCTACAATCTTGCCAATAATAGAGGAACAAGTAAGCCACCCATCCGAGGAAGGTGCGCGAGGAGCAAAACGCGCCATATTTAAATCATTTCCCATCGTTAGTAACTCTGTGTTCCACTTGCTTTAGAACGTCAAAGATCACCTCGAGAAGAGGACGAAAGTTTTCGCGCCGTGTGAGAAATAGGGTGCACCCTTTCAAGTTAAGTAGGACCGGCCCGTTGATGCACCAGAAACAGATTAAATCGCAGGCGAGAAACACACTACTACTTTTGGTAACACAGGAAACACTGAATAGAAATAGCTTGTAATATTTTTACTTATTAATTCGTATCTTACAATATTTTGCTCGATATTTCGTAGAATCGACCTGTACTGATATGTACAAAATAATTTTCACAACGCAACTTTCAATAACAAGCTTGTTCAACAGAAGTACTTTCGCTCTCCATTTTTCCTATCTGTTAATCAAACAATTTTTGCTTCAACAGCCTTGCTTGTAATTAATTAGGTTTCATGTATATGTTGTAGTTCAATTTTATCCTTGGTTCAAATCTTTATTTTCTTTTGTTTCAAACTCATTATCATACAGTAACATGACCGAGAACAAAAGAAAATAAATTTTGAACCAAGTATAAAATTGAACTACAACATATACATCTATGCATGTAAAAATTTTTCACAACATGTGGAATAAATCACTATTTATATCACGAATCTTCACTTCTTAAAAAAATTGTCTTCAAGAGAAAGGATCGAATTGAGACTGCGCAAGTTTGATCGGCAGTAATGTCATAGGCTGATAGTTTCTAAAGAAACTGTTTGGGGCTGCGTCGGTGGGGGTAACGAAATAATTTGGATATATCAACAAAGTTGAAATGGTAATGTCATAGGCCATGAGTTAAAGAATTTGAAATAAAGTTGAAAGTTGGTCAGCAAAGTTTCTGCGTCTTTCCAGACTCCTTAACTTCTGCTTATTCATACTACTTTGTGGAAAGCTTTCAAAGGTAAAATCAGGAAGGGATTCTACGTTACATTTCTGTGCACGAGTCACGACCTGAGAAAGGCCTGTGGATAGGGGAGAAACAACCGAAGAAACTTGACTATACCTAATAAAACTCCTTTCAAGCACTCTCTCTTCTCCAGCGGGCCGGGCAGAAGAGTGATCCTGGTAACGAGGTTTCGCCTACATTGAGAATCGAAGGGGAGCTTCCAAAGAAACTGTGGTGCTGCTTCCGTGGACGTTATCACAAGACACAGTTTGTTTTTATCAACAGAGTTGATAATGAGAATGGGCCAACGGATAGACTACGTTTGCTGCACACACAAATGGTAAATTTTCTTATGACTTGTTCTAATCCTTGTAGTAGAAAAATAGGAAAGTGTAGCATTTTAAAAACAAATTCATATTTCAAACATTGCAAAAACGGTCACCGGGAGGACAGACAGCATAATTTTAGTCCTTGTCTTTTCAATGGTGTTCCCGTTAATAGTGTTCCAGATCTCTCTCAATGATAAATCGGTATTATGAAGAATCCAAGTTTTCAGTTGCTTCTTTGGACAATTCTTAGACGTTACTCTCCGTGGAGTTAGTCCTTGAGCGTGAAGTAAGTGTAGGAGTAAAACATTTCTTCCCAGTAAATGTGTCAAAGAAATTGTCCATCTCTTTAAGTGGAACAGCATCGTGTAGAGTGCGAAGAGGGTTCAATGATCCCACTTTGGTCATTTCTTCATAACGCACTGCAACTTAAGAATAATTTAGATAAACATTTCAGCATAAAAACTTCAAAAATATTAACATCATGTTGAGGATTGTGAGTCTCTT